TCAAGAAACTATAAGAGAAGAGAATCCAAGTTCTTCTGCTTTTAGTTAATCCATGGGTGACAATAAGGGCACAGAGTAAGTTCATGGGACATGGAGAATGTTGGCAGTAGCCATAAGGAGGATTGTTGATGGACTGGATTTTAGTGAAACAAAATCCCTTGTTTGAGAATGAACTTAAAAATAAAATGTAATGACACCATAAGAAAGAGGAAAGTTCTTAGGATATTTTCAATACTGGTTTACAAGCTCATTCATTCTTCAATAAAAGAATAATGTGATGTATAATGTGTAATTGTATAATGTGATGACTCACTGTTGGATAGAGTTTATCATGATTGAAGTTCCATTGATTTGGGTACAGCATAGCTACCCAACAGAGGATAAACTGGAAAGTTTCTCAATGGAGAACAATCAAAAAAAAGTAGGAACTGAACACTGATTTTGAGCCAAATAGATAAAATCATTTTGTTAAGCTAAATAACAAATAGAAAGGGAAAGAAATCAATCACTGGCAAAGAAACAAAGAGAATCCTTTAAGAGTCCAGGTAGCAATTCAGAAGCCCAGCCCTGGCTCTTCGTTGCTCTTCACTAGAGTTTCTCAATTCATTCCCAGATTCCCAGGCTGGGAGAGCAAAGCAGAAGAGTAGAGAGGAGAAAAACAAGAAAGAAGGGGGGGAACCCCTAAATAAAAGTCTGTTTCTCTCCTTTCTCTTTCATATTTCTCACTAATTATGAAGGTAAAGTATAAATACTTGATCTTATTCAAGAGCTTAAAGATGACCTGTCACCATCATCTTTATAGATATTAGCATTATTGAATGCAGAGCCCTTGTGAGGCAGTGACGCTGTTGCTTGAGCTATATATCCCAGCCTGTCTTGTGGTGGTGGTGTTTTTCTGAGTCAGGGTCTCACTATATAGCTGAAACTAGCCTCTAGCTCACCACCCTCCTGCTTTAGCTTCCCAAGTGTAGGATTACAGATAAATACAACCACACCCACATTTGACTATCGCATCTTCTGTCTACTAAGATTATCTTTAGTCTACTTAATACATAATACACACAAGTACAATTACATGTTGTACGTCTTTAGGCCACATGTGTGTAAAAGGCTTATTTTTTTCTTATGAAGGTCATGCTTTTTTGTACTGATAGTAGGATCTGAACTCAGAGCTTCTGGTTCTCACCTGGCTCTTTTTACTCAAGGCTGGTGATCTACCACTTGAGTCACACCCCCATTTCTAGCTTTCTGCTGGTTAATTGGAGAAGCAAGTCTTGTGTGGACTTTTCTGCCCCAGCTGGCTTCAAATCATGATCCTCAGATTTCAGCCCTCTGAGTAGCTAGGATATAGGCAAGAGCAACAGAAGTCACACTTTTTAATAGAAAATTTAGCAGATATTGAAAATAAAGCTTAACTAAAGGAAAATAAAAGCACCTAAAATAATACCATGCAGAAACTGCCACTGGAATGTTCGCTTGGCACTGTTCCACTGTTGTGCTGTCCATATGTTCTGGAATATGTGATTGTGACCTATGCAGCCATGTCCTGCTTCTTTCTCCCTGGCTCTCTGACAAGCTCGGGATCCTCTAAGCTCTCTCCTACTTCTTTCTCTCATCCTTGATGGCTTCTGAGCTTCCTCCTTGTGAATATCACTGTACTCTAGATCTTTCTAAACATCCATTGGTGGGGCTCCTCCGCTGTGCACTCAGTTGCCATTTTCTCAGACATCAAGGCTCATCTGGCTATCTTCAGCCCTACAAATAACCATCACCCTGCCCTGACTTCCTGCACTGGGCACCACCCCTTTATATGATACCCTGTGGCCTCAAAGCTGAGCTTGTGTGTGTGTGTGTGTGTGTGTGTGTTAGTACTGGGCCTTGAACTTAATGCCTGGGCACTGCACTTTAGATGTTGCCCTCTAGGCTGGCACTCTACCACTTGAGCTACACTTCCACTTGCAGCTTTGTGCTGGCTAATTAGAGATAAGAGTCTCATGGACTTTCTTGTGTGGGCTGGCTTTGAACCATTGAGTCCTCAAATCTCAGCCTCCTCAAGGTAGGATTACAAGCATGAGCCACCAGCTCCTGGCTAATGATGAACTTTTGACCCCTTTTCAGGGGCCAATTCTTAGAGTCTCTCTTGAATCATTTTTTTTCCTTCTGGAAACACAGGCTCTGCAATCTGATGATTCTTACTTTGCTTTGCCCCATTAGCTGTGAGACTGTGGCCAAGTACTTGTAATGACCTCTCTGCTTAGTTTCCCCCACTCTAAAGCAGGGATAAAAATACCGCAGAGCTGATGATGAGTAAATCATGCCAAAACCCAGAGTAGTTCTTGGCGCATGGTAAGTGCTCGCTATGCCATACATAGGCCATAATAATCAGCAAATTCCACGTGTTTGGCCTACTTGTCATTTAAATCCAAGTATCCTTGGATCTCAGACTTGATCTTTCTGTCCTCTGAATTCCCAGTGGGTTTTTCTTTTTCTGTACTTCTCCTAGGAAGCTCAGAAAATTTATCTTCCTGATCAATTTCTTTACTGTTTATTACAGAACTAGATTTGCTGCTGTTACGATCCAACAGTTTCATTAAAATTATTTATGCATATGAGTACACCCCCACCTGCTTCTTTCACTCCATGTATAATGACCGAATGTGAGAGACCTTTTAAAAATTAGTAAATAAAAAATATTTATTATGATGTAGTCCACATTCGAGGTACTCAAGAGGCTTTCAGTTCAAGGCTCTGAAGGCAAAATTGTGAGACACTGCCCAGTATACAAAGTAAAAGCAAAGGAGGCGAGAGGCGTGACCATGGTGGGGCCCTGTGTTCAATCCTACTACCATCAAAAAACCTCCAATACATTCCTTTAGAAATAGAATCCCTCCAGGGCTGTCTGTGTCGCCCTGTGAATACACTTGAAGAAGAAAGAAGATGAGAAGATTAATCTGTCCTCAACTAAAAGTACAAAACCTCAGGTCTTTTTTTCTAATGTTATCATTATACCAGAATGAAATCTTAGGAAATGCAAAGAAATGTTGCTCTGCATAGAAGGCAAGGCTGTTTAACAGGGGAGACAAAAGTGTAGACTCTTGAACAAAGAAATGAGATTACTTATAAAGAACAAAATGAATCAAAGTGGGGCCAAGTTTCTTAGGGGGAAAAACGTATACGTATGCAGGAAGGAGGAGGGAGATTGAAGCTGGTGTGCTACTCAGTGTGGCTCACTGGCTACCCGGCAGGGCTGTGGGGGGTGGTGAGGGATATGGCTAGAGACTGTGGAGCACTGCCTGGTGATACTCCTTCTGTGTAGTCACATAGGCACATTTCAGGCAATGAGATGAGATGGTACCTGAAAAGTGGAAGTTTCTCAGTTCTCTGAGGATGACACAAAGGCCTTGGTGCACCATGAAGTGAAGCTTAGTATGTATCTGCCATGAGTCATAGTCAGGGCCAAGTATGTGTTGTACTTCATCCCCAACTCATCCTCCCAACTGGCCTGGGGCCTAGATGCAATGATCATCCTCCTTGTGCAGATGAGAAGTGAAAGGCACACACAGGTTGAGAAGTTGCACAGGGCAGGATAGCTAATGAGTGTGGAATCACAGCTTTGTGCTCAGGCACCAGTAAGCCCCCGGGGTCCCTGCCCCAAACTGCAGAATTGGTGGTTTCCTTCAGCGACAACAATTAAAATCACATTAACCACCTTGTGGTTTTAGTTTAAACAAAATCAATTTAAATAATTAGTTGACGACACTTGTTTTAATAATGGTTTTTAAATTAGCTATAATGTAATATATCAGCAGGTCTTTCTTTCTTTCTTTCATATTGGTACTGCTAATATCTTGAACTCAGGGCCTCATACCTCATACTCTTACTCAAGTCACTCATTTGTTTTGACCTACAGTCATCCTACCAAATATCATGATTCCAGAATCTATTCCTCCCATCTATTTGTAACTTTGTCCCATTGACAAAGTTACACTCCTCCACTCTTCTTCCCTTAAACCTTTTGAATCCAGTAGTCTATTTCTGGCTCTTTCAAGAAGATGTGCCTGGGGGCTGGTGAAAGCAGAACTAGAAAGATAAGACAAGAAGCCATTTAAAAAATCAAGGTGAAAGATAAGAAGGATCTGAGCCAGGCCTGGAGCAAGGAGATCAGAGGGAGGGCACAGGTGTAAATCAAAGATGGAGCTTCCCGCGGCTTTAGAGGATGGAGCCCAGGCTATAACCCTGGGGGGTTCCTGGGGTTCTGGGTGAATCACAGGGCAGTGGTGAGATACAGTCTACCAAGATGGATCCCAATATAAAGTCATCTTATAATAGCAAAAATAAAGTGTTTGAGTCTTTTCCACTTTCCCATTTTAATTTTCTTTGTAGTCCTCACTATTTTCTTGGAATCAAAACCCTTTTCACCAGGGGTGTGTGTGTGTGTGTGTGTGTGTGTGTGTGTGTGTGTGTGTTGTTTGTGTGTGTGTGTGTCTGTGTGTGTGTGTCTGTGTGTGTGTGTCTGTGTGTGTGTGTCTGTGTGTGTGTGTCTGTGTGTGTGTGTCTGTGTGTGTGTGTCTGTGTGTGTGTGTCTGTGTGTGTGTGTGTCTGTGTGTGTGTGTGTCTGTGTGTGTGTGTGTCTGTGTGTGTGTGTGTCTGTGTGTGTGTGTGTGTGTTGGTCTTGGGGCTTGAGCTCAGTACCTAAGCCCTGGCCTTCTTGTTGCTCAAGGCAAGTGACTCTACCATTTGACCATAGCTCCACCTCCACTATTTTCATCTGATCAGAAATTTTGTTCTTTTTGCAAAGGTGATTCTAGTAGCTTTAGTACTTCACACTAACTTATAAACAGTGTATTTGTGGCCCTCTAGGTCTTTTAAGCAGGCAGCATTTTTGTGTGATCTCCAAGACTCGTCAGTTCTACCAAAACACTCACAAATGCACGGTACTCTCTGTGATAAATGGCATACACAGAGATTGATGGTCGCTGTCTGAACTTCTGTGCTCGCAGGCTGCTCTGGCAGGAGGCACCACCATGATTATTGATTTCGCCATTCCTCAGAAAGGCTGCTCCCTCCTCGAGGCCTTTGAGACCTGGCGAAGCTGGGCGGACCCCAAAGTCTGCTGTGACTATAGCCTGCATGTGGCCGTGACGTGGTGGAGTGACCAGGTAAGGCATCTGGGTTCTAAGGCCTTTTCTTCCCATTTGATTCCCTTGTCCTTGTTCTGAGAGTAAGACGTGAACAGAAGCCTTGCTCCCAGGGCAACTGGACAATCGCAGGGATTTTCTTTGCATATTCTTTTGTACTCTTCAAATTTTGAATCCTGGATAGGATTACCCATTTAATATGCTAAATTTTAAAAAGTAATGAAAGTCAACAAAGTAGTCTTTTATATTCATTCACAAGTAAGTCTTTCACAAGTAAGCCACAAATTACAAATGTTCTGTGTAAATTTAAAAGTACTGTTTTCTCTTATTTTCAACATTAATATCTCCAGAATCTTGTTTGTTTGTTTGGTGCTAATACTGGAGCTTGTTCTCAGAGTCTAGTGCTCCCTCTTAGATCTTTTTTTTGGGGGGGGCACAGGGGGTAATAGTTCCACTTGGCTTTTTGCTGCCTAATTGGGAGTATCTCGGATTTGTCTGTCTGGGCTGACTTGGAACCATGATCCTCAGATCTCAGTATCCAGAGTAGCTAGGATTACAGATGTAGTCCACTAGCCCCCAGCTAGAAATTTTAAACTAATATTACCCCACTTATTAAAACATCAATAAGAAATGTTTAATTTAGAGGAGAAAACAAGGAAATTCAAAAGTTAGGATTCTTGCAACAACCTCCAACCCCACCCCCACCCGCATCTACTCTGGATACTTTTGCAAGGACAGTGATAGACTGAGACCATTTCCAGCTGTGTCCTAACCTGAGGCTCTTGCGATATTGCTCTGCTGGTTACAGTTCATCATAGCACTCAAACCAACCTCCCCTGACGGAGGCCATGGCAGACATGGAAACTAGATTCTGAGAGAAAAGCCAGATTTGAGAGCTGTAAAAATATGTGAATTTCTCCTTGTATAAATTTGTATGTGTGCCTTGGAAGAAAATGAAATCACAACTTGTGTCTTCATATTGGACTTCATTCAGAAAGAGATCACCATGGTGACATTTTTTGGGTTAACTGTTGCTCCCAACTCCCCTCCAAAACTGGAATTAAGCCATCAAGTTAATATAAAACAAGTAAGCAATCTTTAGGGCAAACAGTTTGGCAAACATATAACAGCAGAGTTTATAGTCCACAGCGAAAGTTGATTTTTCTCCAAAAATGTTTTAAGTGATGTGTCTGATCTGTTTAATGCCTTTCTAGTCCTTTCCCTCCTTTCCTCCCTCTCCCTGCTTTCCCCTTTCACTCTCTTTCTTCTTTCCTCTTTTATTTTTATAAAATAGATCAATGGTGATGGGATTCGCCCTTACCATTACTTTAACTTGCAAAGAGATCCCTTAGTGAATATTGTTAAAATACACATTCTGTTCAGTTGCTGTTACCAAGTGGCTTAAACAACTGATTATAGTCTCACAGTTCTGCAGGGCAGCAGAATGGGCTCCTTCTGTGGACAGATACGTACCACTCTTTCAAAGCTTCTGATAATTTGCAAAGACCTTTGGCATTCCTTGTCTACAGAAGGACCACCTCCGTTTCTGCCCCCATCTTCACATAGTGTCCTGTATGTGTGTCTATGCCCCAGTGTCCCCTTGGTTAAGCCACCAATCATATGAAACTAGTGCCTACACTAATGACTTCATCTTGACTAATTATACCAGCAGTGACCCTAATTGCCAAATAAGGGATTGGGACTCCAATGAATAGATCTGGGGCACAACCCACAGCAGCAGGGCAGAGGTAGATGAATGTTTTAAGTAACAGGAAAATTCATCTTTTTTATGTGTGTCCAGGAGTTGTTTGCCTTTACTTCACAAAGTCCTGGTAACATTACCTGGGCTGTTCAAGTTTTTCTTATTAAATTGGAAAGTCTTTTATCAACGAAAAGCAATGGTTCTATCCTTACTACAACCTTTCTTTGTTTAGGTGTGTGTTCATGTTAACCTACAAAATTCAACCTGTTTTATTGGGTCTTATCTACTTATTTTTTTCCTTTGAAATGTTAATCCATTTTGAGACTTGAATTGTGTCTGCAAAGGCAATTAGTGGACTAGTTTTGATATATTTTTATTATGTTCTTTAAGTAGTTGTACAAAGGGGTTTCAATTGAATCAGTCAATTATTAATACCATGCATCTTGATCAATGAGTTTTGATCTTAATTTGCCCCTTACCCTTGGTGACCCTGAAGGCTCCTAACCTTCCAGTTGGTTCAGTCTTGTGAGCAATGCATCCTCACCTCCTTGGAGTTGCATTTCTGCAGAGGTCCAGCTGGTGCTTCCTCGGGCAAGCCTAGGTCCACATCTACTCCCTGTCTGAACACATCCCACAGCTGACAGATCTGGCCCTGACCCTTCCCTCCCATAAGCTCTCATTCTTTCTAGATCCATCATGGCATGCTTCGGTGGCTACCACCTTCATTTTCCAGAACAATTCCCTCAAACTGAAAGACAGATGCTGAGAATTTCAAAGCCAAGTGTAGACATGAAGTACTTTGGGAAAAGCAGTGAACTTTCACATGATTGAAATATCATAGCAGCAGCAATTCAGCAGAGGAAATAGGGGATGGCATGGAAGAAAGATCCAGGACTTCATTGCATTTTTCTAGAACTCAACAGCTGTCATTAGTTGTTTCTGTTCTGAATGTAAGTTGTTGGAGAATGTGGAAACTGTCATCTAAAGTAGAGATATTGTTGCCTTTGCTCCTTTTAGGTTAAAGAAGAAATGAATATCCTTGCCCGAGATAAAGGTGTTAACTCTTTCAAGATGTTCATGGCTTATAAAGATGTGTACATGGTGAGAGACTCGGAGCTCTATGCAGCCTTCTCCCAGTGCAAGGAAATTGGAGCAATTGCTCAGGTCCATGCAGAAAATGGAGACTTAATCGCAGAGGTGAAAACTGCATTCCACCTTTCTATTGACAATGAAAACAGTCCTCACCTACTGTAATACAATTGGCCCTAAGAAAATAAACTCATTAAATTCTTTAGAGTGAGGATTTCCCTTTTCTAGCTACTTGCATTAGATTTCAAACATGTGCTATTATAAAGACCCAAATTGTTTTCTTTGTGTCCCTAAGCACTGTGTTTGTTTATTTATTTATTATTTGGTGGTGCTATTTATACAATAGCTCAAAACTGCTGGTTCAGAAAGCTAAAATGTAGGCATAAGTGTAATCTGATGACTTAGGCAGTGCATTTGACAGCTTTGTAAAGCCCTAATCATTTTAGAAACTGGGTATTGAACTGTGCTTAGAAGGAATCTAGATGATATTTATTTCTCATGTTAGTTCCATTACTAATGCCTATAGGGTATACCTTCTGCAAGATTTAAAGAGCTGTCTCTTACCCTTTATATTAGCTGATTTTTTTTCCCTCTCCCCGGGCTCAGCTTCCATTAAAGAGGGTGAGATTGAGGCTCAGTGGCCAGGAGGCAGAGGGAACAATCAAGAAGAGAGAAATGAGCTGTAAAATCAAACAGACCAGGTTTAACTTTGACACTTTCACTTCCTGACTGCATGGCATGGGCCAGTCATTTTACCCTGAGTCTTGGCTTCCTACCCTTTTACATAAGGAAGAAATAAAAATTTGAGAGGGAGAATAATTGTTCCATTACCAGTTGGGCTTAATGGGTTGGCTTGGGGAGCCAGTGAAGACCAAGCTTCAGTTTAAAACACACACACACACAAATACACATGCACACACACATATAAACACATAAATGTATATATATATATATATATATACATGTACATATATACACATATATACATAATGAAATACATAGTATACTGCAATGGGCCACTTTTAGCAAGGACCTGTAGTGGTTTGTTTTATTTGGCTCACCTACACCAGTCATTAAGTTGTAAATATGGATATTGCTTTTCAAATAACGTGACTGAACCAAATCATTTCTTTTTTATTATTATTATTGGTGGTAGTGGTAGTCGTGGAACTTGAACTCAGGGCCTGGGCTCTGTCCCTGAGTTCTTTTTGCTCAAGGCTAGCACTCTACCACTTGGAGTCACAGCTCCACTTCCAGTTTTCTGGTGGTTAATTGAAGATAAGTCTCACAATTTTCCTTCTAAGGCTGGCTTTGAACCATGACAGATCTCAGCCTCCTGAGTAGCTAGTATTATAGACATGAGCCACCAGCTCCCCAACTAACCTCACTTATTTTTAACTTTTGAATCAAAAGAATGTGAAATCTGCACAGGGAAAATAAACAGATTATGAGAATATTGAAATGACTTAGCAAACACTCCTATATGCAAATGCACATCCAATACCGATACCTAACAGATCTAAGTGTCTATGAGCGCCTTTAATTGACAGCAAACGAATATTGCTTTTCACTATTGTCTTTTAATAATGTTGCTGCCTTTTTTCAAGGGAGCAAAGAAAATGTTGGCCTTGGGGATCACAGGCCCAGAGGGCCACGAGCTGTGCCGCCCAGAAGCAGTGGAGGCAGAGGCCACGTTGAGAGCCATCACCATCGCTGGCGCTGTGAATTGCCCGCTCTACGTTGTGCACGTGATGAGCAAATCCGCAGCCAAGGTGATAGCAGATGCTAGGAGAGACGGTAAGCCCCAGGAGACTCGCTGAGCACACAGAACTAGCTAAAAACCTCACAGAGCACTGAAACACTCTATTCTTGCTTGGGAGATTTGTACTTGGAGTTTCACCCTTTTACCTCCCTTTTGCCTTTGTCTTCCTTCATCTTTACACCTGTCTATTCCCCCTCCTTTTCACTCATCTTCATGGCTTATGTGTTTCCTTTAGGTTACTTTTTTTTTCTTTTTTTTGGTCAGTCCTGGCCTTGAACTCTAGGACTGAGCACTTGTCCCTGAACTTCTTTTGCTCAAGACTAGCACTCTACCACTTGAGCCACAGTACCACTTTTAGCTTTTTCTGTCTATGTGGTATTGAGGTATCAAACCCAGGGCTTCACGCATGAGAGGCAAGCACTCTACCACTAAGTCACATTCCCAGCCACTTTAGTTACTGCTTTATCCCTAAGGCTTTAAACTGTTTCTTTCAATGTCATAGTCCCATCCTTAACACCACAGACAGTCACTTTTTAATCTGATGGCTAATTTTAATTTAAAGTTTTAACTTTAAAGTTAATTTTAAATGAAGCATCCCCTCTTACCCTTCTAGCATGCATTTTAGGGAACAAGGTATCTGCTCCTAAACTTTTTTTTTGAGTTAAATTGATTTGTCTGAAAGTAGGCTGAGAATCTGAGCAATAACAAAGTAGTATTTTCTCTTCTGTGCCTGTACTAGGGCTTGAACTCATAGGCCTCAAGATCTTGCCTCACTTTGTCAGTCAAGGCTGGAACTCTAACCCTTGAAGCACGGATCCACTTCTGGCTTTTCAGTAGCTAATTGCAGTTAAGAGTCTCAAGAGCCGGGTGCTGGTGGCGCATGCCTGTAATCCTAGCTACTCAGGAGGCTGAGATCTGAGGATCACAATTCAAAGCCAGCCTGGGCAGGAAAGTCTGTGAGACTCTTATCTCCAATAAACCACTAGAAAACTGGAAGTAGTGCTGTGCCTCAAAAGAGCACTAGCCTTGAGCTGAAGAGCGTAGAGACAGAACCCAAGCCCAGAGTTCAAGCCCCATGACCAACTAGAAACAAAACAAAAAAACAAAACAAGAGAAACTCTTATAAACCATCCTACCTGAAAACTGGCTGTGTTTCTGGAATGTGAATTATAAAGACTAGGAGAATAGATTTAGTATGTCTTAAATTGATACCAAAATAAATTTTGTTAGACCTGCCTCTTGTTGCAAGAAGTTTTCGTAAGGAGTTTGGGCTAGCTGCACTTTTAAGATGTTATCCGCAGAGGGGAGGCTGGGAAGGGATGTGAAGGGTAAGCCAAAGGAGGAGGCTGCAATGCTTGGTAAGAAATGTATGCATTATCCTGCCCATGTAATTGTAACCCCTCTGTACAGTATGTTCACAAATAAAATAAAATACATTTTTTTAAAAAAAGATGTTATCCGCAAACATATCGTGATAAGAGTAAGATTAACTTTACACAAGAGCTAATGAGGTCTTACCACCAAATATGTGATTGTTTCCACCTACACTCCACATGAATGAGAACTGCAATATAAAACAGTAGCCTTTAAAAAAGAACATAGTGAAATACGGTTACAGACTCTGTTTTCCCACCAGATGGCGCTGTTGCCAGCTCTGTGGAATTGCTGTGATTTCTTTTGTAAGTAATTAATGCACCAGGTCCTTAATGTTAGAATGGAATTTAAGCAACAGTAAAACCAGCAGAAATGGCCAATCTGAACCTATCAGCATGCCACCATTTTGACAGTGCTGTCAGAAAGCAGCTCATGGGTCTTGGCTATTTATGTAACACTGAGATCAAATGCCAATAATAGAATAAAATTCTAGACATTCACAGAAAACTTAGTTTGAGAAACGTCATTTTATCTTGAATCAGTCTTACTATTCAATTTTACTACTTTAACATGTAAATCACTTACATGATGACAAAACCAAAGCTACATATACAAAAGATGCTCCTGGGTTCCCACTTTCTTCTCTTCCTTTGTCCCTTCTATCTTCCAGGACCTTGACACAGTGGGTCCCTAGGATGTAGCACTGGCATTGCCTGGGAGTTTGTTATGCATGCAGAGCCTTGGCCCCCATCCCAGACCCGCTAAATTCAAGTGCACACTGGAACCCCAGATGACTCATATGAATATATAGAATTTCTGCTCAGAACACACAAAGGATATCCAGTTATTGATTGCTTCTATTGTAGTTGCCTAGAAATACAATGCTAGTCAATTCAACTTCATTGTTTAGTTGCCAAGTCTACCCCCAGAAGAGAGGGAATGTGATTAACCATTAACATTATTTGTTGAGTGCTTAATATGTGGCTGGCACATAGTAGTATTTTAATATCTTTTATCTCATTTCAGGTTTTACTCAATTTTATCTCATCAATGTAGTTTAATCTGTATTATCTTTTTGTAAAAACAAAATTGTCATCAATAGCTGGTACCAGTGGCTCATGCCTGTAATCCTAGCCACTCAGGAGGCTGAGATCTGAGGAGTGTGGTTCAAAGCCAGGTGGGGCAAGAAAGTCTGTGAGACTCATATCTGCAATGAGCTATCCCCAAAGCAGAAGGGGAGCTGTGGCTCAAGTGAGAATACTAGCCTTACAGCAAAAGAAGCTCAGGGACAGCTTAGGGACAGACCCCAAATTCAAGTCCCAGGACAGGCACCACCAACCAATTTAAAAAAATGTCATAATGCCTGAAGATCAATTCTATTTCTGTATTGTGATGAATGAAATAAAATTTTGCAGATGTTAAATTAAGCTTATGATCACTTTATCAGTCAGTGTCTAATCTACAATCAAGCTCAATTCCATTGGACTCCATAACTAATTTTGGATGTTATACAATCTGAAGCCATATTTCCCACGGAGCGGGAATACTGCCAACCCTTCTTGTCTTCTCCCCAACTACCTTTCCCCTCTCACAACTCCTCCTGCTCTTCTGAGCCCTGGCTGTTGTTCCCCTGATTATTTTTTGCCACCCCCTCTGTTTCTACCCAACTGAAATCCATCACAGCCCCTAGGTGACTGTAGTTGCTTTTCTTGTTCAGTGTGGCTGTGGAATCCTGTGTCCTGCTTCATTGGATGCTGATGTGGATTGAGAAGGAAGACGGGGAATATGTGTTCAGTCCCTCAATTATGTGCGTGTATGTGCGTGCGTGCATATGTGCGTGCATGCATGCAAGCATTCGCTGCTGGTGCTGAGGTTTGAACTCAGTACCTGGATGCTTTCAGTTAGCATTTTCACACAAGGCTGGAGTTCTACCACTTGAGCCACAATTCCACCTCTAGCTTTTTGCTGGTTTATCGGAGTTAAGGGTTTCTAGGATTTTCCTGCCCAGTCTGGCTTCAAACTGCCATCCTCTGAGCATCTAGGATTATAGGCATGAGCCAATGATGCCCAGCTCAATTTCATTTTATATTCAAGCTCCTATCTTAAAGACAGAAGTATGATACTCATTTGGGTTTATTGTTACAGCGATTTTATACTGTTCATAAAATAACAAATCACTGGACACCAAATGTATGTATGCTAAGTGCTGTGCTCAAGGCAGTGGATCTGCGAATTGCATTAGGATCATGCCAGTGCTCAAGGAGCTATCAGTGCACTGAGCTACCTTGTGGCTGGTTTGATGTTTGTTTATTTGATTGTTCTTTGCCTGATTTGGTTTGCGTTTTCATACAGTAGAAAGCTCTCCTTTCCAGGCTTATTGTTATAAAACATAGTTGCACAGAGATTCGGTTTCATCTCTCTCCCTCCTGTAAACTCTATGTGTTAAAACATTACACAATGCCCACCCTCTCCCCCAGTGCTCATGTTGACCTCTGTTTGTTTTCATTTACAAACAATAAAACATGCAATGCTTAGTTACCTGGGAACACAATGTCTACTGGAAGCCGGGTCTTCTTTCTTTTTACTTCCTTGGTCTTCAACATCTGAACACTCTACTATCTTTTAAATTTAGTCTTAAAATTCATTTCTGGTCATGGAAGGAAGTAGCCATGACAAACAGTCCATTTTTAAGTATTTCAAAAAACAGAATTGTGTGACTAGAACATTTTTTTTGTGGAGTATATTCGTTTGTGAGGACTGCTGTCATAAAGGACTACAGCCAGCAAAGTGTCAACCACACAAATGTATTTTTACACAGTTGTGGAGTTTGAAGGTCAGGATGAAGATGTCAGCAGGGTTGATTCCTCCTGAAGACTATGGAAGACGATGGGAAATTCCAGGCCCCTCTCCTTGATTTGCAGATACCTTCTCTTCATTATCATCCTTCTGAATGTATCTGCATCCAAATTTCCTTTTTCTAGAAGGATCCAGTCTCACTGGATTAGGGCCCATGCTAATGAGCTCAGTTTAGCTTCATTCCCTTTAGAAAAATCCTATCTCTATACATTCTTAGGATTTAGTGTTTGAGTTTGGGTGATGCACACAATTCAGCTTATAAACATGAAGAGGTTCCAGAAACCTACTCAAGGTACTTTCCTATGCATTAATTTATTTGACCTTCACATCTTTATTTGACCTTGCCATCTTAGAAGTACAGTGAAGTACAGCCATTTCATAAAGGAGAAAAAGGAGATTAGAGCATTCAGTCATTGTGCACAAAGCTAAAGGGTAACTAAGTCAGGGTTTTAGCCTGAATTTGCCTGATCCACTCAACCAGACTGCTTCTACATAATTTTCTTCCCAATTATTTTCTTCTTTTGTAAAGGTAATATTTTGAATCAAAACAGAGCCCTGTAAAGTTTCGCCCAGTTTTTCAGCTAGGAACATCTATTTTTGTACATGTGTTGGCGTCCAATTTGGTTAGCCGATTTTTTCACTCCTGGGTACCTGTGCAACTTCTCTTGAGTCCTTCAACTCTCTCTAACAGATCCCATGACTCAAAAGAGTGCTGCTCACAGACCGTTGCTAACATCTGCTTTCGTGTAATCACTGAATTGTCTCATGAAGGAGGCTTTGGACTGCTTTAATATGCTTCCTTAGTAGGGAATCTTTAAAGTCTCCCAAAGAGAGAATTTGCCTTCAAGGAGGAGAATTGCATCATACGTACATATTTTTGTTCTTTTTCTGAACCAGAGGATGGATAAATAAAGCAAGAATATCTGTGGGTTGACAGAGTACCACCTAATGTGGAACTCGCTAAGGCAGTGGGAGGAGAGTGATGATGAAGATGTCTCTATTTCCTAAGAGTTGTTGGGACCATCTGGTTGCAAGTGTAATCAGAAGAGTATTAGATTAAAGACAGAGATGGTGCTTTGTCATTGCCAACCTGCTAGGAGTACTGAATGAAAACCAGAAATTGGAAAAGTGCTGAGCCCCATCCACAAATAGCATGTGGCTGACTTCACATTTAAAAAGTACATGTTCTTTTCCAAGACAGTAATAGTGACACGTTTCTTCGTAACGTCATGCACATGATTTCATGTCAGAGGATGAGGGAAGCTTTCCTTCCGGCTCTATTCTTGACTCACTGACCGGCAGAGTGGCTCCAGCAAATGAATTAGCCTCATTGAGCACCCATTTCGTGATCCGTCAGATCAGCATGAGAAGTGTTGTAAGACCAGATGTTCACCTGTTCTCATGTCACACCTGTGTTTGCTTTTTTTTATTGCCACTTCATTTTTTTAGCCCCAAACTATCAGAGCCTGCCATTGCACTGACCATCCAGTTTGATTCTCTGATTTATGGCATATCCAGGCTCCCCATTTCCCTTCCTCTTTGTAATTCTTCACCATCTTTTTTTTGGTCAGTCATGGGGCTTGAACTCTGGGGCTAGGTGCTCTTTGTATTTCTTGGACTCTTTGGGTTCCTTTGAGATATGTCTTGGAGCCATTGTGAAATGGAACAAAAGGTAGTTAAGAATTTTTACATTTTAATTTTTTATGTTTATAAACACTCAGTGGAGAAAAAAGTTGAATATGACAGAGTCAAGGAAGAGCTTATAGGTACCGAGAGTGGCATGTCACATCTTAGAGGTGCTCAGCCCTTCCGCGGAAATTACCTGTCATCTGGTTTCAAAACAGTGCTGGCACATACCTAGTAGATGCTGACACTTTTAATTTTTCCTGAGTGCCATTAAAATGGTAGGAGTTTGGGAGCTATACTCTTGGATCACTGTGATGTGAAAATGACTGAAAAGAACATGCGATCAGGATCTTTCCTCCACAATGAAGCAACCCAGAAAATCCTTAGTTGGCAGCTCGTCAAGTGATTGCAAATCAAATCTCTGAGTTCTCATTGTCCATGCAACTATAAAACACTCCCTCAAAATAAAAGTTCCTTTGACCCTGCAGATAAAGATGGTGCCTGCCTTTGTCTCTCTCTAGTACGTAGTATGTTACCTCTTGGCTCACTGGAGATGAGTACTGCTTACTCTGTATACCTGAGAGAGATCCTACGGGCATTTCTCCTTTTGAGGGAAGAAGGAAGCATAAATCAGGAACAAGATAGATGCATGCAGGCATGCATACACATCATGGAAGCAAAGTATCTCAACAGTGGTTAAATGCCCATCACTTTCATAGATCATGAGACTTGGTCCTTTAAAAAGTGATGTTCTGGGGGTGAGGGGAGAATGGGAGAAAATGAGGGGGGGAACACGGTTCAAAAAGAAATATACTCATTACATTACTTATATAACTGTATCCCCTCTGTACATCACCTTTACAATAATAACTTAAAAAAGGAAGTAAAGTCCTTGGGCTTTAGCCAGCCTAGCTTTTACATTTTCTTCAATTTCTTAGGCTAGCTAGAAGAAGGTGGCTAGTTAGAGGATGGAGAAAAATGATCTGTGAGATAATAGGGTGCTGCCCTCCAGTTTCATGTGACTAGGCAGCTGGTGGCCATACACTGTCAGTACTCTCCAAGGAAATCAGCTAATCTCCTTCATATATCAGGATTGTCACTAAAATCTGGCATCTGATTAACCAGAGTGAACTAATTTGGTACGCCCGCATCGCCTTTCTGTGCACTCTTCCTTTTGATTGCTTGCATACGATGAGGTTGATGCCAGTGAATCTATTATTCTGACAAATGCTAATCAGAAATAGGATTCTGATTTTAAATTCAAATTCACTGTTCACTATTAAGTTTTCTAACATTGTGTGCTTTTGATGGCCTCATTTGCATGATTTTTAAAAATATGCATTGAGGCTTTAATTTTATTATCTGAGTGTTCTTTTATTTAATAGGTTTTTTGAGGAAAGACTTTTTTTTTTAAGGGTATGAAAAGGTTATCAATCTGTTTGCAGTAGAGATACGCTGTGGGTGAATTCCATATGACCTGTATTCATTATTACCTGTCATCTGGCTAGGACAACAGAAAAGACCACTGGAATAAAAATTCTGGGTTCAAATCCGACCACCTCTGTTCCATCTATAAAAAGCATATTTAATGTAATTGGAGAGAAGTCATATAATCTCACAGCTTCTGCCTCATCTTTTAATGGAGAGAATAACAGCGTTTACCCCGTTGAGAAGATTCCATTAGGACAGCCCATGCATTCATCACCTTCCTACTACATTAGGCTGCAGGAACAATTGAAGTTTTTTGTTTTGTTTTGTTGTCAGTTGTGGGCCTGAGCACTGTCCCTCAGCTCTTCAGCTCAAGGCTAGTGCTCTACCACTTGAGCATAGCACCACTTCTGGCTTTTTCTGCGTATGTGGTGCTGAGGAATCAAACCCAGGGCCTTATGCATGCAAGGCAAGTGCTCTCCCACTGAGCCACCTTCCCAGCCCCAAGTTGAAGTAAAATAGGAGTGGCTTACAACCAGTGAGTTATTACTCCTTCATAATCACGGCCATCATGAAGTAGCTATGTCTCTGCTCTACAATCTATTCTTTCTGGAACAACTGAGGTCACCCATACCCATGTCATAACACTGGGAAAGGAGGATGACAGTACTTGGAGACAGCCATTATAGCTTCTGTTTGGAAACTGTATGTGGCACTTGCATTCATATCAGATTGGCCAAAGTAAAACCAGCTTGGAAATTCTGATAATAGGTCAGTGGGTAGCGTAACCTCCCATACTAGGCAATGTCCACTGATTGAACACAGATTAAAAACTCAGTTCTTATTTGTAAATCCTGTTTGCAAAAGTAAGTGATAGGTTGGGATTCTGCTAAGCTAATGATAGTATCCTCTGCTAAGACAAATATGACCCGTGTTTCTATTAAGAGCAAATTAAGGTGCTGAATGCTTCCTTTGAACTTTCCAGGGATGGTGGTCTATGGAGAACCCATAGCAGCGGGTCTCGGCACTGATGGGACCCATTACTGGAATAAAGACTGGCACCATGCAGCCCATTACGTCATGGGCCCACCCCTGCGACCGGATCCATCAACACCTGGCTTTCTCATGAACCTACTGGCTAAGTAATCACTTTGAAGTATTTCATCAAAGAAGCTGCTTTACAAGGCTCAGGTTTGAGTGGAGGAGAGATGGGGTATACAGTGCCTTTGAAACTGCCAGCCCCACCTCAGTCCGCTCTGCATGCCCTGATGGTTCTCCCACCATCTTGCCTGGGGAGGAAAAAAAATGCTGTATTAATTATGTTCATGATATGTTGTCAAAACCTCTCCTGGACTTTGAGAAATCTGATCATTTCATCAAGTCTACTCTCCTGATATTTTTCCATCTCTGTTGCTCAGGTTCTTTTATTTATTTATTTATTTTGCCAGTCCTGGGGCTTGAACTCAGGGCCTGGGCACTGCCTCTGAGCTTCTTTTGTTCAAGGCTAGAACTCTACCACTTGAGCCACAGCTCCACTTCCAGCTTCATGCATGCTAAGCAAGCACTCTACTACTGAGCCACATTCCCAGCCTCCCAGATTCTTTATTATCCCCCTTCTCCTTTTATTCCATGCCAGCTTGCACCCTAATGCCAGCTGCCTATGAGACAGAGATAGGGAGGATTTCAGCTCAAAACAATCCAGGACAAAATAGTTTTGAAGAACCTGTCTCAGCTTAATAGCTTACTAGGAGGCATGTGCCTGTCATCCCAGTGACAATGGGAAGTATAAAAAAGAGGACCACAGCCCAGACCCTATCTCAGAAATAACCAGAGAAGAAAAGGGCTAGAGGCATGGTTCAAATTGCAGAGCACCTGCCTAGCAAGCATTAAAGCTCTGCATTCAAAAGTCACAGAAAGAGAGAGAGAGAGAGAGCAAGAGACAGAGACAGAGACAGAGAGATGAGAAAAAAAGGAGAGCAGAAAGGAGGGTGGGCAGGAGGAAGGAAAGAGAGGGCAGGAGGAAGGAAAGGGAGAAGAAGGAAAGGAAGGAAGGAAGGTACTTGCACTCCTCTGACTTTCTTTGAAGGAGGAAGAGTGGGTTAGGAGATGATAAATATTAGCGGTTTCCTTCTACATCTTCCCATCACTCCCATGTTTTCTTCTCTTTTCATGTACAGTGGTGATCTATCCACAACAGGAACTGACAACTGCACTTTCAACACCTGCCAGAAAGCTCTTGGGAAGGATGACTTTACAAAGATTCCCAATGGGGTGAATGGTGTTGAGGACCGGATGTCAGTGATATGGGAAAAAGGCGTGGTGAGCTTCCCAGGATCTATCCTGGCTTTGCCTACTTCTTCAGCTAGGATCCTGCCTGGTTGAGTGGCACACTTACCTAGAGAAGCTTTCTGATTGTTTTTTAAAATTTTATTTGTGAACATACTGTACAGAGGGGTTACAATTACATGGGCAGGATAATGCATACATTTCTTACCAAGCATTGCAGCCTCCTCC